AATGAACATTGTTTTTTGTTTCCCAGGCACCTGCATGCACGTATAATCCGTTGGTTTAATAAACCCATCCTCTTCTCTATATCCACATATAGTTACTTGGGATTTTTGTCGTGGGAGAATCGGCGCCATTTCTATCTGCTGGAGAAAAGCCAGCGATTGCTGGGCGATCTGAGAGTGTTGGATAACACAAGTAGGTATGTGCCACTATCACTACACACCTATGGGTAGAGCTATGTAGCAAGTACTTAACACGTGGTTTACATCTGAACGATAGATAAAGCCATCAATAGGTATGTGCCACTATCGATGCACACCTAAGGGTAAAGCTATGTAGCAAGTACTTAACACATGGTTTACATCTGAACGATAGATGAAGCCATCAGTAGGTATGTACCACTATCACTACTCACCTATGGGTAGAGCTGTGTAGCAAGTACATACCACGTGGTTTATATCTGAACGATAGATGAAACCATCAGTAGGCATGTGCCACTATCACTGCACCCAGATGGGTAGAGCTATGTAGCAAGTACAAAACACGTGGTTTACATCTGAACGATATATGAAGCCAACAACCAGTACGTACCACATGCTCCTGGCAAGCAAGTGGCAAAGTCCATATGGGCGTTATGTGCCTTAAGAGTGAGTGTAATGGGCATCCTGTTATATGTGACACACCCCTGCAGTACACTTCATTGCCATAGAATGTGTGTGTCATGCTTAGTCATCTCATTCTCCGTGTCTATTTGTCTTGTGGACTTGTTCTCAATGTTTAGTTGTCCTATTTTAATTCTCCTATTTTAATTCTCCTATTTTTCATGCCTAACTGTCTTATTTTCATCCTCCTGCAGTCGCGAACACCACAAAGTGGGTTTCTCAATGTCTAATTGTCCTATTTTAATTCTCCTATTTTAATTCTCCTATTTTCCGTGCCTAACTGTCCTATTTTAATCCTCCTGCAGTCGCGAACACCACAAAGTGGGTGTGGTGTTTGTGGGTTTTGGACAAGAAGACGAGACCGCCATTCTGTCCAACACATCGGGCAGTGAAAAGTACGAACGCTTTTTGGCGGGACTAGGCTGGGAGGTTGACTTAGAAACACATCTGGGTATGTGCATGTTATATTCATTTAATGGCTTATAATGTTAACACATCAGGGTATGTGCATGTTATATTCATTTAATGGTTTATAATGTACACGTTATATTGATCTAATGGTTTATAACGTACACGCACTTGGGTATGCGGGTGTTGTTATTCTCACGTGCTGTGAGCATATGTATTCTATCCGCCTCTCCGCTCACTGTCTGCAGTGTATACCACATGTGGTCTCCAGTCACAGTCAATACCTGCTTCTAGTGCCGTTTTAACGCCGTTTCATATACTCACACATATCGTCCTTGTTACACAAGTGCACACAAGTCCATAAATCGCCCGTGTTTTATCTATTAGAGTCGTTCGCACCTCATGCACCTGCACACAACTCCTCTCATTCATTAGTACTTACACAACCACTCTCATTCATTAGTACTTGCTGCTGTACCTAATCCCCCCGTCCTCCTATCCTCTTATCTCATGCACCTTCTCCCAATCCCTCGCGTGCAGGCTTTGTGGGTGGACTGTTGCGCGATGGCAAGGACGGCAGCACCACACCGTACTTTGCGGATCATCAGGTGGAGGTGGTGTACCACGTGGCCACACGCATGCCCAACAACCTCGAGGACAAGAACCTCAGAAAGGTGCGTGTATGTGCTGTGTGTGAGATATATGGGGTGTGTGTGTGAGAGAGATATATGGGGTGTGTGTGAGTGAGATATATATGGGGTGTGTGAGAGTGC